TACGAACCAATGACATGTTCGGCACAGCCGCAGGTGGCAGGGTCAAGGCCAGCAAAATCGTCGTAGTCATCACAGATGGGTCATCGGACAGTTTGATCAGAAGTAAGTGGGACACATGTCAAAGTGGGACACATGTCAAAGTGGAACACATGTCAAAGTGTGATATATGTAAAAGTGGGACACATGTCAAAGTGGGACACATGTCAAATTGGGACACATGTCAAAGTTTACCAGATAGTTCGATCAGAAATGGGAAACAATTGATTTAATTAGAAGTATGTGGGACACAAGTATTTTGATAATATTTTGTGCGAGACATGGGTCCCCTCCCCCCCCCCCCCCCACACCACAAACCCTCACTGAACCTCCCCTTTAAAAAAAAATATGGCATGTTTGGTTTGCTCAGAAGTAAGTAGGATAATGGTTTGCTCGTCGTGGTTTGTCGGCAATTGTGTGGGACATTTATAGTGTTTTTTTTAGAAATAAGTGGGTCATTTATAATGTGTTCGGACACAAGTGGAACACCTAGTTTGCTGAGAAGTAAGTGGGACACTTATAAATTGTTTAGAAGTAAGTCAGACACTTCTAGTTTGTTCAGAAATAAGTGCGATATTTACATTTTGTTGAGAAATATGTGGGACAATGGTTGTTTAAATCAAACTGGGATACATGGTTTGTTCAGCAGTGAGTGGGACACGTATGGTTTGTTCAGCAGTGAGTGGGACACGTATGGTTTGTTCAGCAGTGAGTGGGATACGTATGGTTTGTTCAGCAGTAAGTGAGGCACGTATGGTTTGTTCAGCAGTGTGTGAGACACGTATAGTTTGTTCAGCAGAAAGTGAGACACGTATGGTTTGTTCAGCAGAAAGTGAGACACGTATGGTTTGTTCAGCAGTGAGTGGGACACGTATGGTTTGTTCAGCAGTGAGTGGGGCACGTATGGTTTGTTCAGCAGTGAGTGGGACACGTATGGTTTGTTCAGCAGTGAGTGGGACACGTATGGTTTGTTCAGCAGTAAGTGAGGCACGTATGGTTTGTTCAGCAGTGAGTGAGACACGTATAGTTTGTTCAGCAGAAAGTGAGACACGTATGGTTTGTTCAGCAGTGAGTGGGACACGCATGGTTTGTTCAGCAGAAAGTGAGGCACGTATGATTTGTTCAGCAGAAAGTGAGGCACGTATGGTTTGTTCAGCAGTGAGTGGGACACGTATGGTTTGTTCAGCAGTGAGTGGGATACGTATGATTTGTTCAGCAGTGAGTGGGACACGTATGGTTTGTTCAGCAGTGAGTGAGACACGTATGGTTTGTTCAGCAGACAGTGCGACACGTATGGTTTGTTCAGCAGTGAGTGGGACACGTATGGTTTGTTCAGCAGTGAGTGGGACACGTATGATTTGTTCAGCAGTGAGTGGGACACGTATGATTTGTTCAGCAGTGAGTGGGACAAGTATGATTTGTTCAGCAGAAAGTGAGACACGTATGATTTGTTCAGCAGTGAGTGGGACACGTATGGTTTGTTCAGCAGTGAGTGAGACACTTATGGTTTGTTCAGCAGTGAATGAGACAAGTATGGCTTGTTCAGCAGAAAGTGGGACACGTATGGTTTGTTCAGCAGAAAGTGAGACACGTATGGTTTGTTCAGCAGAAAGTGAGACACGTATGGTTTGTTCAGCAGAAAGTGAGACAAGTATGGTTTGTTCAGCAGAAAGTGAGACACGTATAGTTTGTTCAGCAGAAAGTGAGACACGTATGGTTTGTTCAGCAGAAAGTGAGACAAGTATGGTTTGTTTAGCAGAAAGTGAGACACGTATGGTTTGTTCAGCAGAAAGTGAGACACGTATGGTTTGTTCAGCAGTGAGTGGGACACGTATGGTGTGTTCAGCAGAAAGTGAGACACGTATGGTTTGTTCAGATGTGAGTGAGACACGTATGGTTTGTTCAGCAGTGAGTGAGACACGTATGGTTTGTTCAGCAGAAAGTGAGACACGTATGGTTTGTTCAGCAGAAAGGGAGACACGTATGGTTTGTTCAGCAGAAAGTGAGACACGTATGGTTTGTTCAGCAGAAAGTGAGACACGTATGGTTTGTTCAGCAGAAAGTGAGACACGTATGGTTTGCTCAGCAGTGAGTGGGACACGTATGGTTTGTTCAGCAGAAAGTGAGACACGTATGGTTTGCTCAGCAGTGAGTGGGACACGTATGGTTTGTTCAGATGTGAGTGGGACACGTATGGTTTGTTCAGCAGTGAGTGAGACACGTATGGTTTGTTCAGCAGAAAGGGAGACACGTATAGTTTGTTCAGCAGAAAGTGAGACACGTATGGTTTGTTCAGCAGTGAGTGAGACACGTATAGTTTGTTCAGCAGAAAGTGGGACACGTATAGTTTGTTTAGCAGAAAGTGGGACACGTATGGTTTGTTCAAAATCAGGAGGGGCACTTACAGTTTGTTCTCAGGTCAATAAGGCACACGTGTTGTTTATATGGAAGTGGGAAACTGCAACTGTTGACATATGTCATTTGGAAACAAATAGACTTATGAGAAATCAAGTAGGACACAGATAATTTGATTAGCGCTGCTAACGCTTTGATTTCCTAATAAACACACACACGAACACACACACATACAAACTGCCATTCACTTTGCTGCCGTTAACATTGTGATACTATTAACACACCGTATCACATTCCTGTATTATCATTGTGATACTATTTATACACAGTATAACATTACCGTATTAACATTGTGATACTATTTATACACAGTATAACATTACCGTATTAACATTGTGATACTATTTATACACAGTATAACATTACTGTATTAACATTGTGATACTATTTACACACAGGATCACACTCCTGTTCTAACATTGTCATACTATTCACACATACTATTTATACACGGTATAACATTACTGTATTAACTCACAAACTACCACTACTGTAGCTACCACTAACATTATGATTCTCTCACAAACTACCACCCCTGTAGCTACCAGCGCCGCTAACGCACTCAAGAGTGAGGGTTTGACCATCCTGGCTGTTGCCATTGGTAGTGGCATAGGGATAGAGCTGCACGCCATCGCTAGTGGCTCCCGTAATGTGTTCAGGGCTGATAACTTCAACAGCCTTGTCCGCATTGAGCAGAAAGTGGCCAGGAGAACGTGCGAGAGTGAGTACCCCTGGCTAACTATAGACACATTCTAACCTGTCTAGCTAAAAATGTATCTATTTACCTACATGTAAAACACCTTATCCTCTGTCTGCCTACATGTAAAACACCCTGTCCTCTGTCTAAAAGTAAAGTAAAGTAAAGATCCCTTTTCACGCCTTTCGGCGCATCGGGCATTTGGGCAGAGCGTCCCATATTTTTACAGACCATCACTACCTACATGTAAAACTACGTATCCTCTGTCTACCTACATGTAAAACAACGTATCCTCTGTCTACGTACATGTAAAACAACGTATCCTCTGTCTACGTACATGTAAAACACCTTATCCTCTGTCTACCTACATGTAAAACTACGTATCCTCTGTCTACCTACATGTAAAACAACGTATCCTCTGTCTACGTACATGTAAAACACCTTATCCTCTGTCTACCTACATGTAAAACAATGTATCCTCTGTCTACCTACATGTAAAACAACGTATCCTCTGTCTACCTACATGTAAAACAACTTATCCTCTGTCTACCTTCTCGGTGACTACTGTATTCTTTATGAAACGCAGCCTTGTCGATGTCTACCCTTGTACGATGATGAAAGTGTTTCATTCATTTTATCCATCTTCTCCCTCCCCCCTCCCGGTTATCTCTATCAGCTTGTATCTTTCTACTTCTTTCTCTTCTTCACTTTTTTTCCCCACATTTTAACTACTTTGAGTGTCGAGAGAGATATGGTTGGTACAGTTTTTTTTAATGTATTTGTTCTGCTTACTTGCTTACATATGTGTGTTGATATTTGCGAGAAAAAAAAGTATGTGTCCCTTGTCTGATGTGGCCGGCCAGGAGGAACATAGAATGGATCTGACAATACAAGAGCTACTCGAGCTTTATAAATAACATGAAGCTGAAGCAATAATAGAAATATCAACAGACGAGGAGACAGAAGATAACGGGCCGGTTCTTATTGCTGACAATAGGGAATTTCTGTCTACTTGGGCACAATTGAAGATATTCTTATAGAAATGGCACCCAGACATCGCTATAGTCAATTTGTTTGATGACAATGTGTCTGTACACTTTAAGAACATTAAAAAAAAAAAAACACACACACACAATATTGAATAAATTCTAAACAAAACAAATAAAAATTATTAAAAAATAAAATTAAAAAAATAATTATAATAATAAATCATCAGAGAGGACATTACCTGATGTCGTAATGAAATTTGACTCCCCTACCAAACTGTAAAATTCTTGTAAAAAATTATATATGTATGTATGCAAGCCTGTGGTATATTAACCTCATCAGGACGATGAAATCTCTGCCACAATGATGAAGCAATAGCAAGTAAAGTGGTTCATAAGTATTTAAAATGTATTTGCATTGGACTTCGACATACATTTTCAAGTGAAATTGTTTTTCTTCAAGAATGTATAGCCACAACTCGGGGCTGTGACAAATTAAACCATGTTTAGTTAATCCCTTTGGGAAAATCCGGTTTGTATTTTGTCCTTTTTAGTATTCTTCCCTTTTAATATTCGTAATTTTTAACATTTGTCTTGTTTTTAATATTCGTCGTGAGAAAGGGATTTAGGACAAATATTGGAGTTCACTGTGTAAAGCTCTCCTTCCTGCTTTCTTGGCCGCCCTGACCATAGACTCATGATGCTTTTGTAGGATTATTCAGATGCTATCTTTCCATCTAGTTCTAGGTGTGTCTCGTGCTTTACTTCCTTCTTCTCTTTGCGTATATGCCTTGTTTGGTATAACGTCACAAGGTCAACTCTCTAAGTGGACAAACCGTTTGATTTTACCTGACTGGTTGTGTGTGTTTAACTTAACTGTCTGTCTGACTATGTGTAAAAGAAAGAAATCTAAGCACTTTTAAAACGTGTATTTGCTGTAACTGATGTTCATAGTAGATAACACACACATATATATATGCGTGTGTATGCAGTAACTGTGATACTTAAACAATATGGTAAACAACATGAATGTTTCTAACAACCATAGAATTTGTCTGAGACTCGACTAGCCATGATGATCAGACAACATCGTACTCACCGTGAATGTGTCTAACAATCATACATTATGTCTGAGCCTTTAGCTTTGACAATCATGCAATATATCTAACAATCATACATTATGTCTGAGCCTTTAGCTTTGACAATCATGCAACATATCTAACAATCATACATTATGTCTGAGCCTTTAGCTTTGACATTCATGCAATATATCTAACAATCATACATTATGTCTGAGCCTTTAGCTTTGACAATCATGCAATATATCTAACAATCATACATTATGTCTGAGCCTTTAGCTTTGACAATCATGCAATATATCTAACAATCACACATTATGTCTGAGCCTTTAGCTTTGACAATCATGCAATATATCTAACAATCACACATTATGTCTGAGCCTTTAGCTTTGACAATCATGCAATATATCTAACAATTATATATTATGTCTGATACTTGTCAAGCTATGGCAATCTGACAATATGGTAAACTACATGAATGTGTCTAACATAATGCAATACATCTGAGACTGGTTTATCTGTGATAAAACGACAATATCGTTGACACCATGAATGGGTTTCACAAGCATACAGCATGTCTACGACTACAGCACGCAGCTAGGATGTGAGGAATGTGCGCGTGCTTGTGTGTGTGTATGTATGTATATATATATGTGTGTGTTTGTATGTGTATGTGTGTGTGTCTCTCTTTCTATATATATATATATATATATATATATATATATATATATATATATATATATATATATATATATATATATATACATACATACATATATACATATATATTCCATTTGATCTTTTGCAGTTCCAGAATCTCAAGGATATGGTGAGTGACAATGTAGCAACCTTTTAAATTCGTGCAGATGGTGTTATCATATAAGCACACATGTCATTATAATAAAAGCACATACATTCTCAAACAAGTATACAAGTCTTCAAAAAATAAACACACACAAACAACAGATGTCATCAGATAAATCGACACATATTCGCATATACGTACAGAAGTAATCAGACCAAACGCACACATATTCTTATATAAGTACACATGTCATCAGACTAAACGCTCACATATTCTTATATAAGTACACATGTCATCAGACAAAACGACACATTTTCTTATATAAGTACACATGTCATCAGACTAAACGACACATTTTCTTATATAAGTACACATGTCATCAGACAAAACGACATATTTTCTTATATAAGTACACATGTCATCAGACAAAACGACACATTTTCTTTTATAAGTACACATGTCATCAGACAAAACGACACATTTTCTTATATAAGTACACATGTCATCAGACAAAACGACACATTTTCTTATATAAGTACACATGTCATCAGACTAAACGACATATATTCTTATATAAGTACACATGTCATCAGACAAAACGACACATATTCTTATATAAGTACACATGTCATCAGAATATGATCACAAATGTTCTAAAATTCAAGCGCACGTATAATCAGAAGATTAGTGCATTTGTTCTTTATATAAATACAAATGGATGGTAAGCATGTGCAACCTAATGTGTAACATATTTAAAAAAAAAAAACAGTAAACATATAGTAAGAATGTTCAACTTAAAATGACAGTAAAAGTATAGCAAAAATGTGAAACTTAAAAATTAAAAAAATGTTGTTTAGTAAGAATGAGTAGCTTGAAATAAAAGTAAAGTAGCAGTTAGAATGAGTAAAGTAACAGTTAGAATGAGTAAAGTAACAGTCAGAATGAGTAAAGTAACAGTTAGAATGAGTAAAGTAACAGTTAGAATGAGTAAAGTAACAGTTAGAATGAGTAAAGTAACAGTTAGAATGAGTAAAGTAACAGTAAGAATGAGTAAAGTAACAGTTAGAATGAGTAAAGTAACAGTTAGAATGAGTAAAGTAACAGTTAGAATGAATAAAATAACAGTTAGAATGAGTAAAGTAACAGTTAGAATGAGTAAAGTAACAGTTAGAATGAGTAAAGTAACAGTTAGAATGAGTAAAGTAACAGTTAGAATGAGTAAAGTAACAGTCAGAATGAGTAAAGTAACAGTTAGAATGAGTAAAGTAACAGTTAGAATGAGTAAAGTAACAGTTAGAATGAGTAAAGTAACAGTTAGAATGAGTAAAGTAACAGTTAGAATGAGTAAAGTAACAGTTAGAATGAGTAAAGTAACAGTTAGAATGAGTAAAGTAACAGTTAGAATGAGTAAAGTAACAGTTAGAATGAGTAAAGTAACAGTCAGAATGAGTAAAGTAACAGTTAGTATGAGTAAAGTAACAGTTAGAATGAGTAAAGTAACAGTTAGAATGAGTAAAGTAACATTTAGAATGAGTAAAGTAAAAGTTAGAATGAGTAAAGTAACAGTTAGAATGAGTAAAGTAACAGTTAGAATGAGTAAAGTAACAGTTAGAATGAGTAAAGTAACAGTTAGAATGAGTAAAGAAACAGTTAGAATGAGTAAAGTAACAGTTAGAATGAGTAAAGTAACAGTTAGAATGAGTAAAGTAACAGTCAGAATGAGTAAAGTAACAGTTAGAATGAGTAAAGTAACAGTTAGAATGAGTAAAGAAACAGTTAGAATGAGTAAAGTAACAGTTAGAATGAGTAAAGTAACAGTTAGAATGAGTAAAGTAACAGTCAGAATGAGTAAAGTAACAGTTAGAATGAGTAAAGTAACAGTTAGAATGAGTAAAGTAACAGAATGAGTAAAGTAACAGTTAGAATGAGTAAAGTAACAGTTAGAATGAGTAAAGTAACAGTTAAGTGAGGCATCGTGATGCTAGACATGTGTGTATAGACATCAACATCAAACCGGCCGCGTTTACCTCCGACAACATTACCGAATACCCATTCTAGTCCACAGTCTGAAGTATCATGTGTATATTACAGCAATGTATGCAAGCCTATTGATTGAAGTGTGTAGCGCCTACTCATAGAATATACTATTGTCATTTTTAAATACATAAATGCTACAATAAGAAGCTGATGTGTGTGTGTGTGTGTGTGTGTGTGTGAGTGAGTGAGTGAGTGTATGCGCGCACGCGTGTGTTTGTGTGTGTGTGTGTGTGTGTGTTAATGAATTGTTAATGAATATTTGAAATAATTAATGATCTAATGAACGGAAGAACTATTAGATCGATTAAAGAGTGGCTGATTAATTTGTTCTATTGAACACACCCATGAACGCAATGATACTTCAATGCACTAGCTGTGAATACATGCATGCATGAATGAATGAATGAATGAATGAATGAATGAATGAATGAATGAATGAATGAATGAATGAATGAATGAATGAATGAATGAATGAATGAATGAACGAATGAATGAATGAATGAGTGGAGAAGTTTGTCAGCATTAGTGTATAACTGTGACCTTTGTGTTCTCAGTTCCTTCGCAGGCAGGTTCTGGTAAGTGGAAACCTTTTTACATAGAGAAGTGTCGGCGACTAGTTTTCTTCTCTCTGTCTCTCAGGCTTTCTCTCTCTGTCTCTCTGGCTTTCTCTTTCTGTCTCTCTGGCTTTCTCTCTATGTCTCTCTCTGTCTCTCTTGCTTTCTATCTGTCACTCTGGCTTTCTCCCTGTGTTTCTTTCTCTGCCTCTCTCTGTCTCTCTGGCTTTCTCTCTCTGTCTTTTTCTCACACACTCACACACACACTCTCTTCCCTCCTCTCTCTCTTAATCTCACACACTCTCTCTTACCCCTCTCTCCCTTCTCTCTCACACTCCTGTCTCTCTCGCACGCACATACACACTCACTTCCCCTTTCTGTCTTCCCCCTCCCTCTCTCTCCCTCTCTCTCTGCCTGTCCCTCTCTCTCTCTCTCTCTCTCACTGTTCTCCTCTTTCTTTCTCTCTCTCTCTCTCTCTCTCTCTCTCTCTCTCTCTCTCTCTCTCTCTCTCTCTCTTACGATAGTAAAACAAACACACGATAAAAGTTTTCAAGTACCGGCAGGTGTCAAATGTTGCAGGCAACAAGCAATAACTTCTTGCAAGTTGGTAGAGGGGGCGTGTTGTAGAAGGTGGCCACAGAGAATCTTAGAAAACGGATAATAACAATAATTGCATCTGTGGTTGCCATAAAACGGATAATTGCACCAGTGGTTGCCAGAAAAATGATAACTGCACCAGTGGTTGCCAGAAAAAGAGAATTGCACCAACTTGTGCTGCAGTAGTTGCCAGAAAAAAAAAGAGAATTGTACCAACTTATGCTGTAGTAGTTGGAAGAAAAAGAGAATTGTACCAACTTGTGCTGCAGTATTTGCCAGAAAAAGAGAATTGTACCAACTTGTGCTGCAGTAGTTGCCAGAAAAAAGAGAATTGTACCAACTTATGCTGTAGTAGTTGGAATAAAAAGAGAATTGTACCAACCTGTGCTGCAGTAGTTGCCAGAAAAAGAGAATTGAACCAACTTGCGCTGCAGTAGTTGCCAGAAAAGAAAAATTGTGTGTGGCAAGAGTTCCTATAGGTTACTGAAATGTGAACAGGAAACATGTTTTCAAGACTTGTTGTCACGCACTGTACTTGTTTCAGCAGCCAGTACATCCAGGCGGACATCATGTATGCTGGAGCATGGATTGCAGTACTGACCCTGCAGACAGTACATCCGGGCGGACATCATGTATGCTGGACCATGGATTGCAGTACTGACCATTCAGCCGGACGCTTGGATGTGCACGTTTATTTTTTTTTCCCCAGCTGGGTCGGTTTCCCAAAGGCCCAGCCTGACCCCCTGACTACCCGGAGGTTATTACCTCTGTAATCCAGACTGTAGGGGAAACCGCTCCCTATGTATTTTGAAAAGAGGGCTGATGCCGTTTGACCCCTGACCTGGTTTGTCTATCCCGTCAGGGAGGTAGTCGTACCCCAGCAGGACATCAAACACGCGATAAACATCCGGTGACACAAAGTGCCACCATGCGGATGAGGATCACCCGTGGAGAGGTCTCAGAAACTGCTTCCAGCCGTTTAGGCCATATCTATGGTTAGGTTATATTTATGGCCCCGCTATATTCAGGGCCCCCTGCAAAAGACAGAATTAGGTTTTAAAATAACACAAAAATTATATCCATTGAGGGAAGAATGATTCCCGTCACCTTGGCCGCTACAAAAGATGTACATGTTGAGTTGTAAAAATCCGGATTATACAAGATGTTCTTCTCACAGGCAATCCTGCTTGCCAGAAAGGCTTTGTCCAGAGCCCTTTCGATCCTGAAGTTTGCGTAGGTAAGTTACATTTCTTGTTGTCTTTGGCTTCAAGATTATCATAAGATTGTCAATATTTTTTCGTAGCTGCAGATTCACAGAAATGTGTGCAGTTGTCTCCCTTTGCTCTACCACAATTCTATCTATCTTCCAGTGGATTTCCATGTCTTGCTCCATGTTTGTTTGTTTACCAATGATTGTTGTAATCTTGCTCCATGTTTGTTTGTTTACCAATGATTGTTGTAATCTTGCTCCATGTTTGTTTGTTTACCAATGATTGTTGTAATCTTGCTCCATGTTTGTTTGTTTACCAATGATTGTTGTAATCTTGCTCCATGTTTGTTTGTTTACTAATGATTGTTGTAATCTTGCTCCATGTTTGTTTGTTTACCAATGATTGTTGTAATCTTGCTCCATGTTTGTTTGTTTACCAATGATTGTTGTAATCTTGCTCCATGTTTGTTTGTTTACCAATGATTGTTGTAATCTTGCTCCATGTTTGTTTGTTTACCAATGATTGTTGTAATCTTGCTCCATGTTTGTTTGTTTACCAATGATTGTTGTAATCTTGCTCCATGTTTGTTTGTTTACCAATGATTGTTGTAATCTTGCTCCATGTTTGTTTACCAATGATTGTTGTAATCTTGCTCCATGTTTGTTTACCAATTATTGTTGTAATCTTGCTTCATGTTTGTTATCCACTCAGTTTTGTTAACCTGTAATACCCGACCAGTATTATTTCATGTCTTCTACAGGTCAATATTTTTGTTTTTATGAGAACTATTTGCCTTTTCTATGTTTTATTAGACAATATATGAAGTCTCCCTCGTCCAGTAGTACGTTCTATTTTGTCTACGTTGCAATAAACACTATCAGACTACAAGGGAGATGGATAAATAGTTACTTTGCCTATTTCTATTCTATGTCTCATTCTATTAGATGTGACATGCCTACTTCTTCATCGTTGACTTTAATTTTAATGGTAGGGGCATCATTAGTTTGTCTAATTCTAATGGAAAGCACATCATTGGTTTGTCTAATTCTAATGGAAAGCACATCATTGGTTTGTCTAATTCTAATGGAAAGCACATCATTGGTTTGTCTAATTCTAATGGAAAGCACATCATTGGTTTGTCTAATTCTAATGGAAAGCACATCATTGCTATGTCTAATTCTAATGGAAAGCACATCATTGGTTTACCTAATTCTAATGGAAAGCACATCATTGGTTTGTGCATTTATAATAGATAGCACAGTAGTTCTAATAAAGGGGACATCGCTGGTTTGTCTAATTCCTATGGAGGGGACATCGCTTGATTGCCTAATTCTAATGGAAGGGAAATCACTGGATGGCCTAATTTGAAAGGAAGGGGCATCGTTAGCTTGACAAATTCTAAGTTGAAAGGGTCATCATTGCCTTGCCTCATACTAATGAAAGGAACATCATTGGCTCGCCTAATTCTAAGGACAGGGACATCATTTCCTGGAATAATTCTAATGGTATGAACATCATTGGCTCGCCTAATTTTACTGGATGGAACTTCGCTGGCTTGTCTTACTTTAATGGAACGAACATCGCTGGCTTGTCTTACTTTAATGGAACGAACATCATTGGCTTGTCTCATTTTATTGAAAGGAACATGGCTGGCTTGTCTCACTTTAATGGAAGGAACATCGCTGGCTTGTCTCACTCTAATGCAAGGAACATCGCTGGCTTGTCTCACTCTAATGAAAGGATTATCGCTGGTTTGTCTCACTCTAATGGAAGAAACATCGCTGGCTTGTCTCATTTCATTGAAGGGAACATGGCTGGCTTTTCTCATTTTATTGGAGGTAACATAACTGGCTTGCCTTATTCTAATAAACGGAATATCCTTGACCTGCCTCATTCTAATGTTTTTTTTTTTTTAACTTATCCAGAAACCATGAGTTGTAAACCCTTTAGCTCGGTACTATGGATATCGCAACCCTTCGGCATTGATTCCAATATAGGTACCGTTAATCTGGGAGAAATGTGGCTTTTCTGCCTACCCCCGGGAGTGAACCCGGACCACAAGGAGTTCGTCACCCGGCCGCCGCGAAAGTCAGATTTAACCAACTTCGCTAGAGAGCCGGGCATTCTAATGGTTTATGCTACCTTAGTTCCAATATTGAGGCAGCTGATTCTCTGATTGCTGTCTCTCTGCAGACGACAACGAGTGTGAGGCTGAAAACAACCCCTGCCAGCAGGACTGCGTCAACTTGGTGGGCAGTTTCCGGTGTACTTGCAGAGACGGCTTTGCTGCTGATGCTACAGATACCACCAGGTGTAAAGGTATCCATGTGATCATCTCATCGGTGTGAACATTTCATGATTCAATGTCAAATATTTGATAATGTCATCATGTGTTTATATCTGTACGTTACATCTGTTCTGAAACCACACATTATTCACAATAAATAATGTCAGGCATTCTGGGAAAGAGAATTAGTAACCATGGAAATGAGATGTCTGAGAAGATCTGTGCGAGTGACCATAAGAGATAAGATCCGGAATGAGATCATAAGAGAAAAATTCGGCATAGAACCAATTTTGGATTACATACAAAGACAGCAAGTAAAATGGTTTGCCTACTTAGAGAGAATGCCTTGTGACACCATACCATACAAAGCATACATGGAAATAGAAGAAGGACGTAGAGCACGAGGTAGACCAAGAACAATATGGAAGGATAACATCAGAGCACCCCCCCCCCCATTAAATTACCTGTGTAAATTACTTTAGCTTTTGTTTGTGCAGCCTCTAAGCTCACTTTAAAAAATATCAGTATAGTTTTCTCCTGTGTGTAATGTGAATAGATTATCTCCTGTGTGTAATGTGAATAGTTTATCTCCTGTGTGTAATGTGAATAATTTATCGCCTGTGTGTAATGTGAATAGTTTATCTCCTGTGTGTAATGTGAATAGTTTATCTCCTGTGTGTAATGTGAATAATTTATCGCCTGTGTGTAATGTGAATAGTTTATCTCCTGTGTGTAATGTGAATAATTTATATCATGTGTGTGTGTAATGTGAATAGTTTATCTCCTGTGTGTAATGTGAATAGTTTATCTCCTGTGTGTAATGTGAATAGTTTATTTCCTGTGTGTAATGTGAATAGTTTATCTCCTGTGTCTAATGTGAATAATTTATCTCCTGTGTGTAAAGTGAATACATTATCTTCTGTATGTGCTGTGAATAGTTTATCTCCTGTGTGTAATGTGAATAGTTTATCTCCTGTGTCTAATGTGAATAGTTTATCTCCTAAAGCGCACTGTTAATTAAACGAAATTGTACACAGCCCGATAGAAAGTAGCCCAATCTTTGACTAACAAACACAAGTAGCCCAATCTTTGACTAACAAACACAAAACTGCCCATGCTAACATTACAATATCTTCAGGGCAACTGTTTGTTCTCTGAAGTATGCTGTCTTGTTTGTGCAACATTAGTTCAGTTAACCAGATCGACAGACCCAAGTCGTGGCCCAGGGGTAACTCACACACCTCACTTCTTTGGTCGAATGCAGAAATCCAGACCTGCGCAGCTGTGGCGGACATCATTTTTGTTTTGGATGCTTCAGGCAGCATCGGCACTGACAATTTTGAGATCCAGCAGCAGTTTGTGGCCAAGCTGACACGTCACTTTGCTTTTGGACGGAATGGGGTGCTGTTTGCTGCCTTGTTGTTCAGTACCGATGTACAGAAACTGTTTGACTTCAACACTTACTCATCCCGTCACAACGTATCGCAGGTGAGTAGACTTGTCTATCACAGAGCTTTAACTGGTGACTCACTTCTGTGATTGTTGATGTGGCCGAGCGTTCAAAGGTTCTGACCCGACATTAGACTGAATGTGAATGTCAGTAACGAACATTCTGGACAGACTCTACAATCAGTAAAGAACCTCTTGGGCAGACTACAATCTGTAAGGAACATCCTGTGTAGACTAAAATCAACGAGAAACATCCTAGGCAAACTCTAAAATAAAGAAGAACACTCTAGGGTAAAGAAGAACACTCTGGGCAGACTCTAGAGTAAAGAAGAACACTCTAGGCTATCAAAGTACACTCTGGGGTAGAGAAGAACACTGAGAAAACTCTAGAGTAAAGAAGAACACTCTAGGCTAGAGAAAACACTCTGGGGTAGAGAAGCTATCAAAGTACACTCTGGGGTAGAAGAACTCTACGTCAAAGAAAACCACTTTGGGCAGACTCTAGGATCTGTAGCGGACATTCTGTGTGGAAAACTTATGATTGCAAAGGAATACAGCTACTCTAGAGTAAAGAAGACTCAAGTACACTCTGGGTAGGAAGGGTAGAGAAGAACACTGAACAACAGAGAACGGTCTTTGAACTCTAAATACAGCACTGACACACGGGCAGACATGAAGCTGACTAAAGACAATACATGAGATTTGCACAACTTAGGTAGACCTGGTGCTAGGTTTCTAGGCTAAATCCATATAGTTCTGTTTCTAACGTGTAATCTTTCTTCCTTTTCCAGGCCTTGTTGACCGCCCCTTACCTGACCGGTGGAACCAACACACACAGAGCCTTGAATTACATTCGCCAACAAAGGATGTTTTCCTCGGACTTCGGTGGCCGCAGTACCGCCGCGGACATTGTCATTGTTCTGACCGATGGCCAGTCGTCGTCAGAGTCGGAGAGTGAGTAAAGAATATACACAAGTCTACAGTTCAAACACACACACACACACACACACACACACACACACACACACACACACACACCCACACACACATTACATGCAAACATAGTGAATTTCCTTTAAGTTAGTCGATTTATACTAGCATGTCCAAACCATCTCCCTGGCCTTCCTTTGAGAAAGTTTGTCAGTGACGAACATTCTTTCTTCCTCCCAGTTATCCTACAGACAGGTTAGAGGTTAGTGGTACCCCATCTGCTTGAGAGGCAAGAAACAACCCACTGCACACACAGAAAGCCAGTAAAACGGGTGTGCAGGCAGAACTCAGGTCCTGTCACAAAGCGAAAGTTCAAATGGAGAAACCTCTAGGACTTTACAAAGCTCGTTACAGGCGGTGAACTCAAACACCTTGCTCCTCATTTCTTCATGATCTTGCTTGGCCAATGTAGGCGTCTCATTCTCCTTTGACATACATTCTAAAAAGTGTCTTATCATCATCATGTCTCAAGTCCTTTGCAGAACGTCGCTCTCATCACTGTCTCCCTGAAACAATCTCGCTGTCTCGACAGCTCTCCTGCTTCGTGCACTTTCATATCTCAGGAGTCACGTGTGTCTGTGCTCCTTTTCGTGTTGGTTAGCCCCTGCCCCTCTTTCCTGGAACCATTTCCTTCAAAAACCAATGTGCACGATGCATAGTGATTTACAGTTAGCCTACGAAATATGCTGTTTTCGTCCCAACAGATTCGATTTCTGTAAGCTAATTATTGTTACCTTTTAGGACATGCTTGGAGTGCAGAAGCTATATCTGATTTCACATAAAATGGAGCCCGGAACCCACAGGGAATACAACTGGAGCACATATTGATATGCTGAACAGACACATGTAAACTTAGTTTTTGAACACATACAGACATGACATTAGAACATGTGTAGATATGGTATTTGAACACATATAGACATGGCATTAGAACATGTGAAGATATGGTATTTGAACACACATAGACATGACATTAGAACATGTGTAGATATGGTATTGGAACACATACAGACATGACATTAGAACATGTGGAGATATGGTATTTGAACACATAAAGACATGACATTAGAACATGTGTAGATATGGTATTTGAACACATATAGACATGGCATTAGAACATGTGAAGATATGGTATTTGAACACACATAGAATGACATTAGAACATGTGTAGATATGGTATTTGAACACACATAGACATGACATTAGAACATGTGAAGATATGGTATTTGAACACACATGGAATGACATTAGAACATGTGTAGATATAGTATTTGAACACACATAGACATGACATTAGAACATGTGTAGATATGGTATTTGAACACACATAGACACGACATTAGAACATGTGTAGTTATGGTATTTGAACACATATAGGCATAACATTAGAACATGTGTAGATATGGTATTTAAACACACATTGACATGACATTAGAACATGTGTAGATATGGTATTTGAACACACATAGAATGACATTAAAACATGTGTAGATATGGTATTTGAACACACATAAAATGACATTAGAACATGTGTAGATATGGTATTTGAACACACATAGAATGACATTAGAACATGTGTAGATATGGTATTTGAACACACATAGAATGACATTAGAACATGTGGAGATATGGTATTTGAATACACATAGAATGACATTAGAACATGTGTAGATATGGTATTTGAACACATACAGACATGACATTAGAACATGTGGAGATATGGTATTTGAACACACATAGAATGACATTAGAACATGTGAAGATATGGTATTTGAACACACATAGAATGACATTAAAACATGTGGAGATATGGTATTTGAACACATAAAATGACATTAGAACATGTGTAGATATGTTATTTGAACACATACAGACATGACATTAGAACATGTGTAGATATGGTATTTGAACCAATATAGACATGACATTAGAACATGTGTAGATATGGTATTTGAACACACATAGAATGACATTAGAACATGTGTAGATATGGTATTTGAACACTCATAGACATGACATTAGAACATGTGTAGATATGGTATTTGAACACACATAGACACGACATTAGAACAGCGTAAATGTGGTATTTGAACCCATATGAACATGGTATTTCAACCCACATGAACAGGATATTTCAACCCACATGTACAGGGTATTTGAACTTTTTTAAATGTGGTGTTCAAACACATAAGGACATGTCATTAAAATTATGAATTTTTAACACAGCCACTAAAACAGCTTCCAATCTGAAACAACTTTACAACATAATGATAAATCTCTATCATAGCCACTACAACAGCTTCCAATCTGAAACAACTTTACAAAATAGTTATGAATCTCTATCACAGCCACTACAACAGCTTCCTATCTGAAACAGCTTTACAACATAATTGTGAATCTCTATCACAGCCACTACAACAGCTTCCTATCTGAAACAAATTTACAACATAATTGTGAATCTCTATCACAGCCACTACGACAGCCTCCAATCTGAAAGTCCTACAATTTTTTTTTAATCTCTATCAGAGCCACTACGACAGCCTCAAATCTGAAACAACTGTACAACATAATTAATAATCTTTATCACAGCCACTACGACAGCTTTCAATCTGAAACAGCTTTACAACATAATTATGTATCTCTATCACAGCCACTACAACAGCTTTCAATCTGAAACAACTTTACAACATAATTATGAATCTCTATCACAGCCACTACGACAGCTTCCTATCTGAAACAGCTTTACAACATAATTATGAATCTCTATTACAGCCACTACGACAGCCTCCTATCTGAAACAGCTCTACAACATAATTATGAATCTCTATCACAGCCACTACGATAGCCTCCAATCTGAAACAGCTTTACAACATAATTATGAATCTCTATTACAGCCACTACGACAGCCTCCTATCTGAAACAGCTCTACAACATAATTATGAATCTCTATCACAGCCACTACGACAGCTTCCTATCTGAAACAGCTTTACAACATAATTATGAATCTCTATTACAGCCACTACGGCAGCCTCCTATCTGAAACAGCTCTACAACATAATTATGAATCTCTATTACAGCCACTACGACAGCCTCCTATCTGAAACAGCTCTACAACATAATTATGAATCTCTATTACAGCCACTACGACAGCCTCCAATCTGAAACAGCTCTACAACATAATTATGAATCTCTATCACAGCCACTACGGCAGCCTCCTATCTGAAACAGCTTTACAACATAATTATGAATCTCTGTTACAGCCACTACGACAGCATCCTATCTGAAACAAGACGGCGCCATTCTGATCTCTATCGGGGTCGGCAATCAGATCTCTCCAGATGAGCTTGGCCTCATCGCTAGTACGAGCCAGGACGCCCTGATCGTCGATGACTTTGATTGGTTGTACTACATCGAGCAGCGGGTATCTGAGCGCGCCTGTAGGAATAAAAGTAAGTCTGTCTCCAGGTTGTCTGTAGAATTTGGGTTACATGTCTCAATGATCTCTTCCACCTGCCCTTTGGGAACGAGTCAACAGTGCGAAGGCGGAAATGGATCAGAACGGTTTGACGAGAATGGCGGAGCGAAGAGTGACCGGATGATTTGTCTGATACAGAACACAGGATCGAGTCAATAGATTCGCTTTAAAATCCAGCTGCACTCCGGGGTTTACCCAGCCTCTAGGTGATGGGTACTAGAGTTGACACTGGGGTAAATGGAGGAATGTCGCTGTAGCTAAAGACTTGTGTGCGGACGGAGACAAATACGGACAGTTTTTTATCAGCTGTCCGTACTGGGGGCAAAGCACTTATGGTTTATAACAGTGTGCAATGAAGTTGGTTCACATCTCCCGACTCAGGGAAGGGGCACACCTGAAAACAACGAGAATACTTATTTGACCACGGCTATTGGAATTCAGCCTTTTCTGGACGCGCACGAAACACTTTTCGGTATGCCCTGAGTTGTACATGTCCCTTTTTTTTACTGAGAACTCACCGTCACCAGTGCGGCTTCAGGTTACAACCTTTGCTGCAATATTGATTCTATTATGAGAGCTGTGAAACAACTAACAAGAATGCCCTGGTACTATCTGCCACAGCGAGCTAGACTAAAACGTTACAACGGGTATAGAGCGAGTGGAAGACCTCGGAAAAGATGGAGTGATGGCATTACAGAAATGAACATCAGTCTTAATAGTGCTCTTGACATAGCTCATCAACGTACATGACATCTCCCCCGACAATTCGATGAGGTACAAGGTGGAAGAGAAGAAGAAGCCCCACGTACTGGCCTGAATTACGCACATGATATCAAAGGCATTGTTTCGCACTGAATGCAAGGAAGGAATATACTAAGGGAACTATGTGACACATAAAGGCACAACAAGACAATGAAAAAGTAAATAAATGTACGATTCATCACCATCAACTCATCTTGATCCTCTTATATCTTGCAGTGTCGATGTGAAGTATCATTAACAAGAAAGCGCCCGTTTGTGTGCTTCAAAGATAGGGATTCCCAAAGATTCTGTATTTCTCTATGTCCATCGCTTGCATCTTCAGCCTCTTCTTCACTTCTGGTCTGGTCTGTACATCATTGCCTGCTGTGGTATACTGTCTGCTGACATCCACGTTATATGACCAAACCATTTCACTAGTTCTTCTAATAAAATCCAGAGCTGCTACTACTCCTATTTTTCTTGGGATTTCATCGTTAATGATTGTCTCTCTTTTTGTTGTACTAAGGACCCTGTGCATGAATCTCATTTCAGCTGTTGTAATTTTTCTTCTTCCCCTCTCTCTCTCTCTCTCTCTCTCTCTCTCTCTCTCTCTCTCTTTCTTTCCTGTGGTTGTCCAGGTCTGACATTGATAGCACAGTGTTGGCAAGAAGATTGTGCCACAGTGTGCTCTTCTGGTTTCTATTGACACATTTTTGTTTTTAGTACTGGCATTGTTTGCCAGGTGAGTTTATTTGCCTTCTTACGTCTGTTATCAATCTCATCTTCCGTTTTGCCAGCTGATGATATTACTATGCTGCCGAAGTATTTGAAATTCTTGATTTGTTTGATAGGATGATCTGTAAGCTGGATATTTATTATTTGTCAACTCTGGCTATGGTTATCACATGTGTTTTATTGGCTTTAGTTTTGATGCTCTGTGCAAACTTGGTTCAAATCATGAACATGGTCTTGCAGTTCACTTTCTCAAGTAGTGATTAGTGCTTGGCCGTCCGCATGTAGTAATTCTGTGATGCAACTTTTGGGCTTTTGATATTTTTCTCTTTGGCATATAACAGCAATTGTTTCATTGGATTTGATATTATAATTGTAAGTTATGAAGTGAAGGCATATCTGCCGTGTTTCGTATTTTATGGTGAATGGTTCCGAGTGAGTACCCTCCGTTTGTAATAACAGCGCATTCACTTTTGTTAAACAAGCTCTCATATCTGTTTTTTAAATGCGTGTTTACACTAGAACTTTTCAAGATTCCTCAGAGTTTGTTCCTGTCTACGCTGTCAATTGCTTTTTCTTGATCAGCGACGACTGAATAGAGTGTTTCGATTTCTCTAAAAGTTTTCTGAGAGCAGAGATGGCATCTGTCCATCCCACAGTTTTCTGAGAGCATAGATGGCATGTGTCCATCCCACAGTTTTCTGAGAGCAGAGATGGCATCTGTCCATCCCACAGTTTTCTGAGAGCAGAGATGGCATCTGTCCATCCCACAGTTTTCTGAGAGCATAAATGGCATCTGTCCATCACACAGTTTTCTGAGAGCAGAGATGGCATCTGTCCATCCCACAGTTTTCTGAGATGGCATCTGTCCGTCCCACAGTTTTTTAAGAGCAGAGATGGCATCTGTATATCCCACAGTTTTCTGAGAGCAGAGATGGCATCTGTCCATCCCACAGTTTTCTGAGAGCAGAGATGGCATCTGTCCATCCCACAGTTTTTTGAGAGCAGAGATGGCATCTGTCCATCCCACAGTTTTCTGAGAGCAGAGATGGCATCTGTCCATCCCACAGTTTTCTGAGAGCAGAGATGGCATCTGTCCATCCCACAGTTTTCTGAGAGCAGAGATGGCATCTGTCCATCCCACAGTTTTCTAAGAGCAGAGATGGCATCTGTCCGTCCCACAGTTTTCTGAGAGCAGAGATGGCATCTGTCCATCCCACAGTGTTTTGAGAGCAGAGATGGCATCTGTCCATCCCACAGTTTTCTGAGAGCAGAGATGGCATCTGTCCATCCCACAGTTTTCTGAGAGCAGAGATGGCATCTGTCCATCCCACAGTGTTCTGAGAGCAGAGATGGCATCTGTCCATCCCACAGTTTTCTGAGAGCAGAGATGGCATCTGTCCATCCCACAGTTTTCTGAGAGCAGAGATGGCATCTGTCCATCCCACAGTTTTCTGAGAGCAGAGATGGCATCTGTCCATCCCACAGTTTTCTGAGAGCAGAGATGGCATCTGTCCATCCCACAGTTTTCTGAGAGCAGAGATGGCATCTGTCCATCCCACAGTTTTCTGAGAGCAGAGATGGCATCTGTCCATCCCACAGTTTTCTGAGAGCAGAGATGGTATCTGTCCATCCCACAGTGTTCCTTAATTCTAGTTGTGCTTCACTTGGCTACGGCTCGATAACAGGTCGCGGTCTTTTCTCTAGAATTTTGCAGAATATTTTCCTGAATGTCCAATTGTTTTGTAGGGACAGATTGGAAAAATAACAGCGAGCTTGGGTATTATTATAGAGACCGCATGTTGCTCATTTAGCTTGATCCCTCTCGACCTGCTTTCACTGCAAAAGAAAATTCACACCAACACTTTTAGAATAGAGCGTGCTGTATAATCTGCTGGACCAGAAAGCAGCTGCCCTGTTCTCCCATCAGAGCTTTTTTCCTAGACGAGCCAACAACCAAGGATAAGGGCCTGTTCTCCCATCAGCTTCTCTCTTTGACGAACCTACAACCAAGGCAGCTGCTCTGTTCTCCCATCAGTGCTTCTCTCATAGACGAGCCTACAACCAAGGATAAGGGCCTGTTCTCCCATCAGAGCTTCTCTCCCAGTCGAGCCTACAACCAAGGCATCTGCTTTGTTCTCCCTTCAGTGCTTCTTTCCTAGACGAGCCTACAATCAAGGGAAAGGGCCTGTTTTCACTGAGTTTACAATACATTTTTTTCAAGACGGCAATTTTTTGTTTTTCTTTCTTACTCTGTTTCTCTCTCTCTCTCTCTCTCTCTCTCTCTCTCTCTCTCTCTCTCTCTCTCTCTCTCTCTCTCTCTCTCTCTCTCTCTCTTTCTATATATATATATAATGTGAATTTATTGTAATTCATATTTTATTTAAACAAGATTCCGGCTAGAAGAGGGAAAATACCCATAGAATCAACGGACAGAGCCATCGGATTGTTTCTATGCTGTGACTAAAGCAACAGCGATATCAACAATGAAATAAACATTGTGTTGTGTGCACTTTCATGACTTTGTTGACATGATTGTTGTCTAGTCTTTGTCAGCAGCTCAGGTTTACTGTTTTACTTGTGTGTTGATCCTTCTTTCTGTCTTTCTGTCTGTCTTTCTTTCTGTCTTTCTTATGTTGGTTTTCTGTGTGTAGCCACAGTGAATGTTATGTTTGTTTTCTGTGTGTAGCCACAGTTAATGTTATGTTTGTTTTCTGTGTGTAGCCACAGTGAATGTTATGTTTGTTTTCTGTGTGTAGCCACAGTGAATGTTATGTTTGTTTTCTGTGTGTAGCCACAGTGAATGTTATGTTGGTTTTCTGTGTGTAGCCACAGTTAATGTTATGTTGGTTTTCTGTGTGTAGCCACAGTTAATGTTATGTTGGATTTATTTTTGTCTTTGTCTTCTTTCCTCTTTCGTCAATATCTACTAATGCCGCTAGGAGTCACAGTTCACCAGACGATCGGCAGTCGAGCCGGGGCGCGCTCATCTGCTCTATATGCTGTGATGGTCTGCAGTCTCAAGGCGTCAATGACTCCTTCATTCCATCTTATTCTCGGTCTTCTCCTGCCTCTTGATGTTTCGATTTATAGTTTGTACGCTCTTGCTGCTGACATCTTTGGTTTCATTCTCATTAGATGGCCAAACCATTTCATTCTTCGTTTCTCAATATATTTGACCATGAATGTTGTTCCAACAGTTCTTGTGATCACGTCGTTTCTCACTCGATCTCTTCTGGTTTTATTTACAGCCATTCTCAAACAAATCAACCCACAGATCTCTTCTGGTTTTATTTAGAGCCATTCTCAAACAAATCAACCCACAGGTCTCTTCTGGTTTTATTTACAGCCATTCTCAAACAAATCAACCCACAGGTCTCTTCTGGTTTTATTCACAGCCATTCTCAAACAATTCAACCCACAGGTCTCTTCTAGTTTTATTTAAAGCCATTCTCAAACAAATCAACCCACAGGTCTCTTCTAGTTTTATTCACAGCCATTCTCAAACAAATCAACCCACAGGTCTCTTCTGGTTTTATTTACAGCCATTCTTAAACAAATCAACCCACAGGTCTCTTCTAGTTTTATTCACAGCCATTCTCAAACAAATCAACCCATAGGTCTCTTCTGGTTTTATTTACAGCCATTCATAAACAAATCAACCCACAGATCTCTTTCAGTTTTAT